AGCAGTCCCTACCGTACTCCCTAGCCCTCAGAATCAAGAGAATTTGCAGCGAAGAAACAGAGTACCAACAGTCGCTGCAAGAAATGTGGGAATTCTTCAGGCAGAGGGACTACCCAGCGGCTATCCTGACAGCAGCAGAGGAAAAACTGAAGCTGCGTGACAGAATGGAACTGCTGGTACCACAGATCAAAACTGAGGATGACAGAATGATCCTAACGGCACTATTCGACGAAACTTGGGCATCAGGACTGAGGGACGAGCTGGACCAGCTCTGGACATGGGTACGAGACGAGTTCGACTAGGCCTCATGGGCAGAGTACTTTCCCAAACGTCCCCCGATGCTGGCTTGGGAGAAGGATAGCTCCCTTAAGGATGATTTAATGAAAGCAGAATTTCCCAAGAAAGACAAGACCACGCTTCGCCCAGACCTCGTTCGCGACGTTTCAGCACAAGAGACAAGAAAACCTCAAATACAAACTCTGCACTAACTTTAACCTGCCTCTCACTACTTGTAAACTCCTCTACAACTTCCTAGACGGCCGCACTATGAGAATCAAATTCCAAGGCTGTTACTCTGATTACTTCACACTAAATGCTGGAGTATCCCAGGGATCTGTCCTCTCCCCTACCCTTTACATTTTATACACTAACGACATTCCAACACCTGTATACCACAACTCCATCACTCTAGCCTATGCAGACGACATTACACAACTTATCACTCACGCCAATATAGATATACTCACACACAAAACACAAAATGAGGTCGACAGGATAGCCATCTGGGAACAAAAATGGAGGATCAAATCCAATGCAGCCAAATCCAGCATTACATATTTTAACTATAGGAAACGTGATCCTCCATTACTTGTCGAGCTCAGAGCTGCTGACACCAGCACTTGCATCCCTTACATCTTGACTACCTTCTTCGCTTACACGGACATATTCACCCAAGGCATGCAATAGCTAATAAGGCCCCTGCAGGCCTCTACAAGCTGCAACATGCCTCCCAACGCACCAAACTACACCTACAAATCCCTAATACGTCCTTTGATAACTTACTCTCCTCTAGCCTTCTCTCTTGCAGCTAAAACGAACTTAATTAAACTGCAGCGTGTCCAGAACAAGGCGCTGCGCTGGGTGCTTGATGTCAGATAGGAGGACTTCGCAACAAGCGAGTCTCTCCATGCCCAATTAGACATCCCTGCGCTGAATCTGTACTGGAAGACGCTCAGTGACAGGCAGATAGACAAACTTGAGACACGACTACTGGACCTCCCTCCTTGACGAAGACATTCGCAGACCCACAAACCAACACAATCTTTTCTACTCCTTGTATGATCCTGCTCCTAACCCTATTTACAAATAACCTAGGATTCTCTGACAGGTACCTTGCGCTGTTCATTCTCTGACCCACGTTCGCTTTAGCTTTTGGGTTAAGACGTGGCTCAATTCTACACTCCTCTCTAGCGCTAATCTTCGCCTGTCCCGTCCTCCCCGCTCACCCCACCGGAGTCCCAACAGAAGAGCCTGCTATGTGTGTTCTCAATGTTTGTCCCATGATCGACTTAGCTACTGGGTTAAGCCCTGGCTCTATTTCTACAACTAAGAACACTCCTCTCCAGCACTATTCTTCGTCTGACCAGGTGTGGACGTATCAGTGGTTCATTACTTTGTAATTTGTTCATGACTGTAACCATGTATAGGAGTGAAGCTGATTCATTACCTCTGTAACTTGCCATGATTGTGACCAGATCTACCTGGAGTTCGTTATCTTTGTAACTAGTTCAACTATCATAACTTTGGGGTCCAGTCACTGGACCCATTATGTACCTTTGTAATCTTTTGACTACCACCCACAGGATGGGTATGGGGTGCATAATAAAGATATTAAACTAAACTGTGTGTGTGTGTGTGTGTGTGTGTGTGTGTGTGTGTGTGTGTGTGTGTGTGTGTACTCACCTATTTGTGGTTGCGTGTGTGTGTGAGTGTGTGAGTGTGTGTGTGTGTGAGTGTGAGTGTGTGTGTGTGTGTGTGTGTGTGTGTGTGTGTGTGTGTGTGTGTGTGTGTGTGTGTGTGTGTGTGTGTGGGGTGTGTGTGTGTGTGTGTGTGTGTGTGTGTGTGACTCAACAATCAATATTTGCACCAATAACTCACTACAGTTGTGACCGGGTGTGGAAGTGTGAATTGCTCATTACACTATAATTTGTTCATGATTGTAGCCATGTATAAACGTAAGTAACCATTCTTACAGTATTCATTACCTTTGTAACTTGTGAGTTCATTACCTTTGTACCTAGTTCAGCTATCAAAACTTTGGGGGCCCAGTCCCTGGACCCATTACGTACCTCTGTAATCTGTAAATACCTTTGTAACTTGTCATGATTGTGACCAGACCTACCTGGAGTTCATTACCTTTGTAAATTGTGAGTTCATTACCTCTGTAACTTGCTCAGCTATCAAAACTTTGGAGTCCAGTCCCTGGACCAATTATGTACCTCTGTAATCTTTTGACTACCGCCCACAGGATGGGTATGGGATGCATAATAAACATATTAAACTAACTGTCCCGTCTTCCCCGCTCATCCCATTTGGGATCTTATCTGAACTTGTTCGTTCGTTCGTTCTGTATGTTAGAACTTTCTAAACCAAGGTTATTGCTTATCATAACCGCCAAGTCGTTTTCGCAATCTGTATGGCTAAGTTCTACATTATTTAACTTACATGTATTAGGGTTATGGACACTCCCGAGCGTCAGAACCTTGCATTTATCTACACTGAACTGCATCTGCCACTTTTCTGACCAGGTACTGAGTTTGTCTAAATCCTCCTGAAGTTCCCTGATATCTGCGTTTGAGTCAATTATCCTACCATAAATACATCTGTATGTTAGAAGTGATCAAGGTCCCAGGACCGAAACGTTTTCTAATAAATATGTCATAGTGTGTGCTTACGTGTCTTTCTAAACCAAGGTTATTGCTTGGCAAAATCTAAAAAAAATAACCACCAAGTCGTTTTTGCAATCTGTATGGCTAAGTTCTGGATTATTTAACTTGATGAACATCAAAATGGTATACAATACCGACAGGTTGGTAGGTAAGACACATAGGCAATAGTTAGGCAACTTTATTCCGAAACGTTTCGCCTACACAGTAGGCTTCTTCAGTCGAATACAGAAAGTAGGCAGGAACAGTAGAGATGTGAAGACGATGTAATCAGTCCATCACCCTTACTCAGTGCTGGAGTTGCTACTCTTACCTACACTCTACAAAAGACTGCCCCACAAAAGACAAAAAGTTCTGCTCTACCTGCGGGTCTGAAGGCCACTATTCCAAGACTTGTACTTCTACTGCCCCACTTAAGTGCAAAAACAATCACCATACTCTCGCTGCAAAGTGCCCCACTCGTCGTGAAATTCTGAGAAAAAGCCAAGAAGCAGAACAGAAGAAGACACCTTCCAAGTCACCTTACTTGATGCCAGCAGGTCCCTCTCTAACCTCACCTCCTTAGTTCCATTACTACTACTACTACTACTACCACCTCTACCCACGCTTCACCTCACCTGACTCCCGCCACTATATATATGTGTGTTTTCTTAGTTTTCTCTGTATTAGGACTGAAGAAGCCACTCGTGGCGAAACGTTTCCTTTAATAAATGTCCTGAACTGTACATAAGTGTCTTTTTCCACAACTCACCTACTTATGCTGCCATCACCAAACTCCAGGCCGACACAACAAAACGTTTAAAAGCTACCCAACCCTCCACCACTACTCCATCAGCTTATGAACCTACGAAAATTCATTACTGTATGCTATATGCACACATGCATAATATGGCGTTACCAGGCTCCTTCAACACTGTTATTAACGAGCTCTTCCGATTGAACAACATGCCAAATTTTACTTTCCCAGACTCTCCATCATCTGCCGACATCATCAAGCTCACCAAAGAATTAGGCAACATCACAACACCTGAAATTCCATCTCCAAGAAACAACCAATCAGCGACTTCCAACATCACCACCGCTGTGGACCAATCACCTGAGTCTTCCACCTCTGCTACTACTACTACTAACGAACCACCTGCTTCATCTCCAACTCAACCATCAAAAGCCAAGAAAGCTAAGACACTTCCTCCTGAAAATCCACCTCAAGATACTCGAAGATCTGTAGAAATGGAAGAGGAAACAATATTTAGACCAACTGAACCCCTCACCTTCTATACATACAACCCTCACACCCCGTCGCTGTGTGCACCTCAGGTCATCTATTCCATGCACCATGGTAGTATCAAGTACACTGTTGCTCCTGGATGCGATCCCCACACTGAAACTGCCATAATTGCAGACGTAGAAAAAGACAGCAAAAGTCTGCTCAAACTTAGTTTATTATCAAAACCTGCTTTCAAAAGACTTCAAAATGGCTCTACGACAGGAACGAAAAACTAACAAAACGCAGATATGAAGAGTGTTATCCACCAATCAACGCTGATCCTCTCTCCTCTCTGCATACTTAACCAATCATGAGGAAATGGTATGGTGATACCGACAAGATGTGGAAAAAGACACTTATGTACAGTTCAGGACATTTATTAAAGGAAACGTTTCGCCATGAGTGGCTTCTTCAGTCCTAATACAGAGAAAACTAAGAAAACATTTATATATAATATATATATATATATATATATATATATATATATATATATATATATATATACGTTTTCGCCACGAGAGGCTTCTTCAGATCCTAATACAGAGAAAACTAAGAAAACATTTATATATATATATATATATAATATATATATATATATAATATATATATAAATATATATATATATATATATATATAATATATATATATATATATATATATATAATATTATTATAATGTTTTCTTAGTTTTCTCTGTATTAGGACTGAAGAAGCCTCTCGTGGCGAAACGTTTCCTTTAATAAATGTCCTGAACTGCACATAAGTGTCTTTTTCCACACTTAACCAATCATGTTGAAACATGCCTACCTCTCCATCCCGCTTCCCGCCGATCTCCAGCAACCAATCGCCGACCAGAACTTCAGATCAACCACCATGATGCAGCCTGCACAGCATGCCCACGTCATCCATATTCTCAGCCAAGTCCTGTTCTCTCTAGCTCTATCCCACGATCGTCTCAGCTGCTGGGTTAAGCCCTGGCTCTATTTCTACAACTAGAAACACTCCTCTCCCGTCTTCCCCGTTCATCCCATTGGGATCTTACCTAAACTTGTTCGTTCGTTCGTTCGCTTGATCTTCAGATAGTTCCTGACTATGGAACTCCAAACACATCATCGTAAGACACAGTCGCTCCTCACCTCAAGAAGTGTTCCTTCGATCCCCGTCGGGGAGGGGAACCTATAATCATCGTACCAGCGCCTGCCTTACTCCTTCATGATGTTTGCAAACCGTGTATGGATCAAATCCAACAGTGGAGTAATAAATGACTCTACTAAGCTTGCCCTTGCTGCCGCTGTAAAGACTTGCCTACAGGTTAAATTTACGGCCATCCACTCGACGAAGGACTCATTCATCGTCATCTGTACTGACGATTATGAAGCCTCAAAGCTGATCGCCGACACTTCTATGAAAACCCTCAGAGACCGACAGTTCACCATCTCCCCTTCACCTTTTTTGCTGGCGAAACGTTCCGTTTTCGTCAAACGGCTGGACAAACTCGTCACTTCTTTATCGACTGAGGATCTCAAGACCTCTATCGAGGAACAAAATACCTGGGCGTCGATTGACCATATCACCAAGCTCCCCAACGCCTCTACAATGATCAAGCTAACCTTCTCCAACATCGATATGGCTACTAGAGCACTGTCTGACGGCCTAGCTGTCTCGTACTATCATATCCATGTGGCTTTATCAATACATATTCCGGGACATAACTTGAAGACAGGAGAAATATGTACAGAAGATGAGGTAATCAGTCCCTCAACCTAACAGTAGGTGCGATTACCTCATCTTCTGTACATAGTTCTCCTGTCTTCAAGATATCATATCCATCCAAGTCACATAGAACCCGAACGTTTCGCCCACATCTCGCCATGCTGGACCTGCTACTCCTATCACCACTCAACGCCTGACTGTCCTCTGAAAGGGAAGAAGTACTGGTGGTCATCCAGAGACAAGTCAGGCTTGACCCACATGAGGCCGGGTCACAGACCGGGCCGGGGGGGCGTTGCCCCCCGGAACTCCTCCAGTAAACTCCATGAAACTACCACCCCCTCTCTACCCCCTAAAACTGCAAGGGTACCCCCACACCCTTGCACAAAATGCCCTCTACTAAAGTATCCTGTCAAAGAAAATCTTTGAGGAAACCAAGAAGAACACCCTAAATCACTAAATACGCCCCCATTGCAAAAAACAATCAGATACCCCCGACTCCTCAACACACAAAAATCACCCCACCCAGCCACCCCCTCTTGCCCCCTTCCAAGGGGTATACGTTGATGTATGACACCTTACAATGATTTTAGCACTGGAAAAGGAAATATAAACAAAAATGCAACTCTTGTGATCTTTATCTCAAAAGATACCCGGGATTCACATGTGTCAAATTTTTATCAACATGTGGGTTCTCTAACCTTCTCTACACACCTCACTAATGCTGAAAACCCCTGGCCATTCAACACCACAATCAATGAATTTTTTGCCTTAAAAATGCCAAAACTTCAACTTTCCAGCCCGCCCCCATCACAAGACCCCTAAAGCTAATTCCAGACATTGTTAACTTCCCTCCCCCCCTGGTCCTATGTATCTCTGCCCAAAACTTATCCAAAACCAACACCACCGTCTACGACCTTTACCACCCACCACCAGCCCAAAAAACCCAAAACCCGACCAACCTCCCGTTCCTCTAAACAAGCACAGAAGACAAAATAGTCCCAGACATTATAAACAACCCCGGACAACGACAAGTAAAGGGGATTAAATATGTGCGAAAATACTACCTAGACGGGACTCGCACAATGGTTTTTAATTTGGGAAAAAAATTTAGATTCAGAAGGAATGGAAAGGACTGGTTTTTTTAAAATTTGTGGATGAGGGAACAACCCCAAGTACCGTTATAGAGGCCAGAACGTTGGTGCTTAAAAATGGGTTTGGAAAAATAATGAGGGGAGGGGGGGTTGGGTGTTAGTTGGACCTGATAGTTTGTGCTACCAGGTGGGTTGCCGTGTTCCCCCTTAATCAATGTGCCCTGACCTGACGGGGTTGGGTGCATTGGTTTAAGCCGGTAGACTTGGACGAGTAGGCCTGCTGCAGTGTTCCGTCGTTCTTATGTTCCAAGCCAAGCCTTTTAATGACATTAAAAAGGTAAAAAATCCGACAGATTTTTTAGGTAAGACACAATGCAACAGTTGGTATCTTTATTTTTTGAAAGTTTTGCCTACACAGTAGGGTTTTTAGTCGAGTCAGAAAAGTTTATAGAAGCAGAAGTATTTAAAACATGTAAACATCCCTCACCTAAAACTTTAAGGGGGATGGGCTGATTACATCGTCTTCCAGTTCTTCCCTTCTATCAACTTTTTCTGTACTCGCTGAAGAAACCTACTGTGTAGGCGAAACGTTTCGAAAAAAAAGTACCTAATGTTGCATAGTGCTTACCTAACAAGCCTTTAATGGTCTCAAAACCCTTCACACCACCCCAACCCCCCAACCCAAAAGACGCAGCTGATACCCACTTTAAAGAAAGAAGGGCTGTTTAAATACACCTCACCAAACCTCACCCAAATTTCCCTTTTGAAACGGACTATCTTACCCCCGGACGAATCTGAACGCTCCAATCAGAATGCAACTATTTCCCCAAAGTCCAGAGAGACTTCAAAAGACCAAGAGTGGCTCCACACCAGCGAATGTAGCCAAACACACAAACACTTTCCGAACAAAAACGTGAGCCTCCCGACACCCCGACTCCAAACCACTCTTCACCTCAGCCCGAAGCATATCAGCCGCGAGCACTGTCCTCAACATGCCCTCTCTTGTCAGAACTGCAAAACATGGGCCCCTTGGTCAGAAAACACTTTGGGAAAACCCCTTTCAGGAGAATGTTGGTCTGGAGGGACCGACCTCTCTTGCACTTTCACTACACATACTACTCTCCACCTCTCCTTCCAATTTTAACTCTGCACTGTCCTTTATCTTCAGAAGTTCCTGACTTTTTGGGAAATGAAATTCTCCAGGCTGAGGGACTGACAACCTCAAATTCTACGACTTCAAGGGTGATGGACTGATTACATCGTCTTCACATCTCTACTGTTCCTGCCTACTTTCTGTATTCGACTGAAGAAGCCTACTGTGTAGGCGAAACGTTTCGGAATAAAGTTGCCTATGTGTCTTACCTACCAACCTGTCGGTATTGTATACCATTTTGATGTTCATGCCCTCTCTACACTGCCTCGTAGTGCCAAGCAGCTGGGTTTAGCCCTGGCTCTTTCATCTACAACTCAAGACCTTCCTCTCACGACTATTCATCGTCTGTCCACACTTCCCCACTCACCCACCGGAGTCCCAACAGAAGAGCCTGCTATGTGTGTTCTCAATGTTTGTCCCACGATCGACAACTAAGAACGCTTATCCCATTTGGGATCTTACCTGAACTTTCGTTCGTTCGTTCGCCTGATCTTCAGATAGTTCCTGACTATGGAACTGAACTTCTCCAGGCTGAGGGACTGACAACCTCAAATTCTACGACTTCAAGGGTGATGGACTGATTACATCGTCTTCACGTCTCTACTGTTCCTGCCTACTTTCTGTATTCGACTGAAGAAGCCTACTGTGTAGACGAAAGGTTTCGGAATAAAGTTGCCTAACTGTTGCCTATGTGTCTTACCTACCAACCATTATTTAACTTATAAGTGTTAGGGTTATGGACGCTCCCGAGCTTCAGAACCTTGCATTTACCTTCATTGAACTGCATCTGCCCTGATATCTACGTTTGAGTCAATTATCCTACCTATCTTTGTGTCATCGGCGAATTTGCTTATTTCACTAGTAATTCCCTTCAAGATCATTGATATATATTATATATATATATATTATATATATAATTATATATTATATTATATATATATATATATATAATATATATTATATATATATAATTATATATTATATTATATATAAATATATATATATATATATATATATATATATATATATATATATATATATATATATATATATATATATTATATATATATATATATATATATATATATATAATATATATATTATATATATCGACTGAAGAAGCCTACTGTGTAGGCGAAACGTTTCGAAATAAAGATACCTAACTGTTGCATATGTGTCTTACCTAACAACAACGGGACCAAGATCCCTGTGGAACGCCACTTGTTACAGATCCCCACTCGGATTTAATCCCATTTATGCACACTCTGCTTCCTGTCTGTGAGCCATGACAGCACTTTTTCCCCAATGCCCTGATCTGCCACTTAAAACAGTCTTTGGTGCAGTACTCTATCAATAGCCTTACTAAAATCTAAATAAACAATATCAAATTCTTTATCGTGGGATGAATTGTAAAGGACCTGCCTAGTATGGGCCAACAGGCCTTCTGCAGTGTTCCTCCTTTCTTATGTTCTTATGTTAACAGCCTCAAAAGCTTTACTGAAGAAAGTTAATAAATTAGTTAAGACAAGAACGGCCTCTCGTGAATCCATGCTGAGTACATTAATCAGATTTTGCTTTCCGATGGTTTTTTATAATCT